ATTATTCTTGCTAGCACAAGAAAAGAAAACCCTAGCCGTCATTCTTATTCTCTGTGTGGATCACCATTGGAGGCTGGACAATTGGACAGCTTGGATTGCAGATCGTGATCATTGGAGTTCAAGAAAAAGCAAAAGAGTTTGTGGAATTCATCAAAGGTATCATTCTCATCACAGTTTCTATCTAAACACATTGCAGATCCTTGTTTGGGAATTGAAAATTATTTTATTTCCATTGTGCATGTTAAGTAAATTCCCAATAGTGGTGTTGCTCACGATGATGCCAGGGTGGTAGTGGCTCCCGGAGTGATGCTATGGGATGGATCTTTCGAGTTAGAAAATGCTGAATTAGCCTTGCTTGTAAGGCTTAGGCCTTCGCATGGTCCGAAAATTGAACTTGCAGATTGACGCAATGGAATGCGATGCTAAGAAAGTGGTTCTTGGGGATTAATCAGACGGCGTCAAGTTCGGATTACAAGTCAGGCTAATACGTAGAAAAAAATTAATTTACACATAAAAAATAAATTTTACAAGATTTTCCTTTTTTACATTAAAAAAAGGGAGGGCCAAGGACTGGGCCGGGCAGTCCCCCGTAAATCCGTCTATGGGGTTAATAGCACAAATGCTCATCTACGAGGACAAAGTAGATCCCCTTCAGGAAGTTAAGTTTAAATTTACCAATCGCCACCCAACTTTATACTTGGTGTCACCATAGCCACCAAATTTTATTTTGTTTTATCATGTCCACCCAACGTTATATTTAATATCAACGTGATCATCCAATTTGATTTTATTTTACCATGACCATCTAATTTCATATAACATTTTACCATGACTACCCAATTTCATATAACATTTCACTATGACTACTCAACTTTTTTTCACCATTTTCATTAATATTAAAAAGAGGTAAAACGATAACTTTACATTATATATAAAAAATAAATTAAAAAAAAAAACTTATTTGAAAAAATGTTACTTGAAAAAATAAATTAAAATAAAAAAAATATTTTTTAAAAAAATAAAAACTTATTTAAAAAAAAGTTACTTAGAAAAATAAAATAAAATAAAAACTTACTTAAAAGTTGGATTACTAAATATAAAATTGGATGACCATTGATGGATTTAACCCTAAGTTTAAATCGTCATTTTATTTCATGTGACATGAATATTAGGGTGTGTTTGTGTCCCATTATTGGGAGAAAAATAGAGTAATGAATAATATTTTTTGGAGAATGTGTGGTTGAAAAGTAAAATAACTTTATTGATTTGTGTGTAGAATATTTTATTGAGTGAATGTGTGGTGGAGAATCTTATTTTAGCAAACAATTTTTTGAACGACCACGCGTGTACAAAGCAGGTTGACAAAGTGACGTGGCATCTATTAAAAAAAAAAACTTAAATTTTGAAACTCAACCTTCTCTCTCTCAACCCATTCCCCGTTATCTCTCTCCACCCATTCTCCCAAATTGAAGCTGAAACCAAAACCCTAAAATAATAACCCATTTCCTTTGCTAGCAACAAGAAGTTTGGCACTATCCTCAACTCCGGCGTCACCCACATCTCCGACAGCCGGTGAACACCCAGCTCCACACCGTATTTTTTTGATCAACTCGTAGCAAACACCACTCATATGTAAGAAATTTCCTTCGGCCTAGATTTTCTACTTTTCTAGATTTCGGTTCACTCTAAATTTTCTCCAGCTAAAACCCTTTTCATTTTTTTTTCCTTCAGTGGTTTTTCCTTTATTTCAGTTTTCCTTGCTTGATTGTTGAATGAGCTTAAAAGGATTAGATTTTCTGTATTGGGCAAAAGGCTGATTTTTTTTTTTTTTTTTTAATTGTTTGGGGTAAAGATCATCGTTATTGGGCAAGCTAGTCTGTGAGAATTCAATGAATTCGCCATTAAATTATCAATTTTTGAACCAGACAATTGCATTTTTACTTTTGGCCAACTGGGTCACGTAGAAATCCAGCAATTTCTTGATGAATATACATATTATTTGAGAATGATAAGTACTTAGTTCTTAGACTTGTAAATTAGGAAAATGTGATTTTGGTGTTTCATATTTAACTTAGATGAGGATTGAGGACAATAAAATTGAGTTGAGATGCTGATTTCTGTGGTGGTTTAACTTAGAGGCTGAATTTGCAGATTCACATTGCACTTAAATTGCTGATTTTGCAGTTGAACGTTTAACGTAGAGGTTGATTTTGCAGTTGCTGATTTTTCAATTTAACATCGAATATAAATGCTGACTTTTTTGGTTTTCCAATTTACCTTAAATGCTTGTTTTTCAATTTAACATTATCTTACATGATGATGTTATTATTTTGACATTTGGTAGACATAAATGTAAATTTGTTTGATTCAGGAACACATAATGTCGAGAAAGAATTTTGGAGTTTGTCACGGCTGCAGGAGTGTTTCACACTTCTTCAGTGATTGCCCGAAAAAGCGTCGATGTCCACTTTGTTTGCATGGATTTCAGAAGTTTTTCGAGGTTGAAAAGGAGACTGTTAACAAAGGAAGATTCTTGGACGAGGAAGATCGATTTGGGGGAAATGGGTCTTGGACGAGGAAGATCGATCTCAGTTTAAGATCTGGAAATTGGTCTTCGACGAGGAGGGAGAAATGGGGAGAGAGAAGTGGGTTTCGGGATTCAATAATGCACTGTTGTTTCCTTCCCTTTCCCTTTTTGTTTTGGCGCCATCAGTTTCATCTTTATTTAAAATCTCATCCGTCCACTCCCAATTCATCTCAACCATACACGTCACTTTGTAAACAAACTTTGTCAACCCACTTCGTACAAACAACATTATTCTTTTTCAAAACAATGGTAGATAAACAGGGGCTTAATTTAGCTTCTTTTCCTACTTTATTTTTCTAGTGATGTGATGTGTTTTGGATTGATTCTTATCCAATTTTTATTTAAAAATAAAAAAAAAATTACATATTTACTTATAAGTTGACTTTTTAAGCCTAGCCAAACATGATCTAAATCAAGTCCGCGTTGTCACCCCAGAAGGACAATTGGGAAAAGTAAATCATCCTTGAAACCCTAATCTCTATTTGCAAAAAGACTGGGTGAATTTTATGTATACTTACTTGGATGAATATGCCTCTATCTCTGTCGAGGCTGGGCCAATCGTTGCCATTTTCCAGATTTTTCAGGTACTCTTATTTCAATTTCTTCCTTCCTCGGTGTATGCCTCTGTTTTCACTGTGTGCATACTGATAAGTGATACTGCTGGCTTCTTCAATCGTTGTTTAGAGAACGGTGATACCTTATTATGGGGACAATTTGACAATGTGGTTTGCTGTATATAAATCATTTTCGGCCCAAGTGATAAGACTGAAGATGATCTGAAATTTTGGAGAAGGATCAAGTTGCATATTTGATTCGGTGATGTGAGTTCTGCAATAATTATTCTAAACAATAACATCAATAATCTTCAAAGAGTTTAGGTTGTTTCTAGGGCTTTTTCCACCTAGTACTTGTGATTGGAGATTCTGTACGCTCTTTACCGTATTTTGGTTTAGTACCATGTTTGGTGCACAGTACAACGTAAAAGATTTTAGCTTAATTTTCTTCTTTAGTGATATGTACTCCAGGCCAATTCTCCTCAGTGCCATACACGTGCTGTAGATGATTTATATATTGGAAAGGCTATGCATTGCATTTCTATTTCTGGGGTTATAAATCTTGAATTATTATATATATGGAATTTTTGTATTCCAGTTGAAACGATTTCCCCCCTCGGACGGTCTATATTCTTGACCATGGATGTCAAATAGAAGTGGTCATGAAATATGCAAGGCTCAGGTGCCTTTACGGACAATGTTTTTTTGTAAATTACTATAGTTTATTAACCTCCTTCACGGTAGAATACTTAAAGATTTGGGTGGCAAAGAGTACTAGGATTGAACCTTATGGAGTGAGGACAAAATTTTGTGCCATTTTGATCTGAACCCATAGATTTTCTCCTCATAATAGGTGTGAATGTTGAACTAGCCCATTAAAAGTTTAAGCTACCAGAGGGGAGTAATTTATTTATTCAGATTTATATCTTTAACATGCCTGGTGAACTGTGGTAGAATTGATTTTGTTCATCGAAGACTCAATACGTGTTTCACTTTAGGGTAGTGGCGAAACTTCAACTCTGACATTTTGTTATTCAGATACCACCTTATACCACTCTATTTATAAATATTTTCTTTTCATCAGTAACAATGGAGAATCTTAGCTGGTTGATAGATTTATGTTCCTTGTGTCATAGTTGAGCACATGTTTGACTTCAATAAAAACTCACATTGTATCTTGGACTTCTTTTTCTCAGGCAGCTAGAGCAGGATATGGAAACTGTGGTTAAGGTTCTTCAACCTGGACCCTTGGGAATTATTGAACACAAGTTTACAGTCGAGGAGATACATAGGGCAAATTCTACTGTTAGGAGAGCTGTAGAGAATTGGCGGAGGAGTGCCTACATTGAGCAGAATAGTCCTTTCATGAAAGATTTCATTGACAAATGACAAAACACTTGTTAGTTTATTTCCCCAAATAATGTTCTGATCCAAGATCAAATCAAGTAAATCTTTAAGCTCTTGAAAACTTTGTACACATGCTTTACTTATTATCTGCTTCACTTGAAGCAGTTCTTTCATTAACAGCAGAAGTTAAATAAGATCTGCTCTTTTATGACTCTGTTTCCTGGATACATTTTTAGGAAAATGGCCCATAAATGAATCATATATGTGCATATTAATATGTTCATTACAATCAGTGACCTTTGCTTCATCTGAAATGTCATTTAGGTACTCCCATCCTTCAATATTTTAGAAGAATGCCCGTTTTCATTAGTATTGAAATAATTCAAATGTCTTGCAGTTTTCTTGGACCTTAATTGTGAGGATTCAAAACTTAAAAAAGATAATGTGAACACATGAAACTGGACAGTAGGTTTAGTTCTGGGTCCCTACAAGTGCTGATGGGTTTAGGTTACTAAAAACTTGGAAAGCCACCTCTTCTTCGCTTTGCTTTTCTGTCCAAGGCTTTTTCGGAGCGGAAGTCAATTATGGGTTGAGGTCTGGAAAGCCGTCTGATCTGCATAAAAAGGAACGTCACTGCTGTGTATGTGTTGATTTTATGCAGTACTTGTCATGCATTACAGGACTCTCTTCCCAGAGCATTCTTATAGAATATGTTGCACGGAAACTTCTAAAAGGTTAGCATTGCTGCTTTGAGACAAGTAGCCATTAAGCTTAATGCATTAAAGATGCTCAATAACTACTTTAAACAGTGTCTCTAATCGGCTCTGTTGAACCCAAGCTACCATTAACTGCATCTTTGGTGTGTGTAGTATTAGATGATATAATAAACAAAATTATATTATTTTTTTCTATTGTAGTATTGTTGAGTGCTATTCAATGGTCTCTACCAAACATTCTATTATTGTCATCTTAATGTGTTTTAGGTCCTGAGCTAAGTGTAATTCTATATCCATATGGCTCCAGCCTTCATGAGCAATGGGACAAGCTTCCCTTTGACATGGAGAGTGATGACCTCTTCGGCACCGCCAACCAATTCTTGCCCAATACTGCCGGGACAGTCAGCCACCCTCATACAAGTGCCCTTTCCCAGTGCTGCCCATTTGGGATTTTGTCTAGTTCATAGGCCGTTAGGTTTACTCCGAAGTTGCATATCAGTGTCTTGATGGCGTGGCACATGCAACATGTGCTTTTGCTGAATATCACCACCGGCTTGTCCGCTGTCAACCTCTTCACGTCATCCATCCCTTTAGCAGAACCTAGGAGATTAGGCCTCAATTCCATGTAGAGAGAAAAACAAGCAGAACATAAACGTTCAAAAACATGGAATACATGAAGAGTAAAATGAAGCAAAAATTATATCTCATATGACTTAATCCCAGTTCAGAATTTCATTTATCTCATGATATGCTTGTAAGAGTATTTATCTGAATTAAATTCACTAATCGAGGGAGAGAATTCACTCTGATCAAATCTCATCATAAAATCTTCCATCTCATCAGTCTTTCCATGTACATGACCAAAAGTATCACTTGTGTAGTCACTAGGTCGAGGGTAGAAATGCTAAGTGGTGGGGGTCGTGGGGTTAAATCCATATGCTGCAAACTATGGTGGTGATTCTGCCTTGGTGCTTGAAGTACTCGTAATTGAATTTTTCTTGGTTGGTTTGAAGAATTAGTTCCTTCGATCGAAACTTTTTTGGAACTGCCTAAAGTGATGGTCACAAAGTTGATAGAGAGATCATGATAAGTAAGAAATTATATTTTTAAACAGGTTTGAAAATTAAATTTTACTTACTTTATTGACTTATTTTTAAAGCTTAGTTGAACATGCTAATAGATTTCTTTCTTAGTCCCATGTTGAATCATCAGCTGAGGTGGAGAAAGCTGTTTGGAGTTTATCCAGTTGGAGGCCTTTTTCTTCCATCCAAGATTCCCATTTCACCTCAATTCAAAAAAATAATGAAAAAAATAAAATAAAAAATGAAAGATTGTTTTATGTCGGAAAATTACTGTATTAAAATGCGGGAAACAGTAAAAACACATACCAAAAATTCTTATGATGGTCATTCGATCGGACGGATTTTGAGGTCAACATTTATCATCATGTGATTCTTCGTGACAGATGCATATTAATATAGGCTTCGAATGTCAACTTTTGGCAATAGAAGTTGAATAATTAAGATTCTACACCTGTTGAGGAAGTCATGGATAAAATATGTATAATTTTTGGCACTTAATATGTTAAAAGATTATGAAAAATAATTATGCTGGCATGTTGGAGAATTTATTTTGGCATATAAACAAAGCTAAATCGAATTTGTACAAGTGAATAAATCCTAAAAAAAATGATGATTTAATTCTATTGCGAGTTGAGAAGATTCAAAGCATTGAGTTCATAATGTTTTCTTTCTAGAAAAGTAAGTTATATCAATATAAAAAGTGATTTTGAAAATTATGTCGAGAAAAGTAACTAGAAGAAGTGAGTTTGACTTGAGCACCACTAAACATGTTCTAAGAGCACAAATTTTGCAATTTTACAAAGCGCTGTATGAATTAAATTCAGAAACTGAGTTCATGGGAATCCTTTTCTACTAATCCCTTTTATTGCAGACAAGAGAGAATATTGGAGAGCATAATCTCTTATTCAATCCGGAAATGAAATGTTTATACAATATAAATATCAAATCAAAGAAGTGAAAAAAAGGCGGGAATTACAATTAGATGACAGCTGTAACTAATTAACAAAACTTTAACTAACTAAAACTATTATTTGGTGCCAAGTGCTTCTTGAATAGCTTCCTACTACCTCTGGTTTTGATACTCTCCCTCAAGCTGGATGGTGAAGATCAATGACAGTCATCTTGGACAGCAAAGAAAACAAGACAGATGCATGCAACGATTTTGTGAAGATATCAGCCAGTTGATGGTTGGTTCGAACCGGTAAAAGCTTGATAAATCCATCGCTGATTTTATCCTTTACAAAATGGCAATTTATCTCTATGTGTGTGGTCCTCTTATAGAAAATAGGATTGGTAGTAATATGAATTGCTGCTTGGTTGTCACAAAATATCAAAGCGGGAACCTTGGAACTTATTTGAAGATCAAGAAACAATTGATGTATCCATATCATTTCACGTGCAGTGGAAGCAGTGGCGGACCCAGCATTTTGAGTCAGCACGGGCGGTCCTCGACAGTCGACCATGGGCAACAATAAAATATTAAGAGCCCCGTTTGATGTCTTTTTTTTTTTTTTTGCAAAAAAATGCATTCTAGAATAGTGATTTGATGGAGAATGTGTGGTTAAAAATTTTAAAAAATGTTTTGAATTTGAATATAATATTATTTTATTGAAAAATGTGTGATTGAAAAGAATAAAGAAAATGTATTTTGAAAATGGGAAAATCAAACAAGATCAAAAATTTAAATATAATAATTTTTTTGTTCAAACTGAATATATATAATTATGTTATACAAATTAGCAATATTGACTAAATGATATTGTGACCAAGTTTTGTATAATTCAAATGAAGGGCACGGGTTCGAAAATTTAAAATTGCATTAAAACCAATAAAATTTAACATATATTATTTTGGTAATTTTAGCGTCAAAGTTCAACAAATACCTTAAAGGAAAGTTCACAGGTCCAAATTCAACAAATGAAGAGCACGGGTTAAAATTTTTACAATTGCCTTAAAACTACTGAAAGTTAATATATATTATTTCCGGTAAGTTTAGTGTCAAAGCTCATGAAGTGTCATAATGGTTAGGCTTCCATATTTTTAAGAAGTGGTCACAGGTTCGAAACTGCTCTTTATTATGTTAATTTTTGTGAAAAATGTACAACTTAAAAATTCCACAATAAATCGGTTAAGGTGGGATTCAAAACCGGGACCTCCAAAATAAATATGGAGGTTCTGACCAGCTAAGCTGCAAGAAATGTTTGACAATGAAATGAATTATCAGTTGTATAATTTATAACATTTATCTATTGTAAAAAAAAAAATGGTTCCTAACAGATCCAGCACGGGCGGCCGCGGGGGCTCACCAGGTGCTGGGTCTGCCACTGAGTGGAAGTCAACGCACGGTACTCAGCTTCAACAGATGATCTGAATATCATACTCTGTTTCTTAGCCTTTCAAGACACCATAGAATCCCCAAGAAAAACACAAAATCCAGTGACAAATTTTCTGGAGTCTAAGCATGACCCCCAGTCTGCATCAGCGAAGGCACGCAATTGCAAGGATGAATCAGTAGAAAACAAAAGGCCTTGATGAACAGTTGTTAGATGAGGCTTTCTAGGCTGAAAAACGAAGTGACTGAGTTTATGCACCGAAATGTAATATTTGGTCTAGAAACGGTTAGATAGAGTAACCTTCCAATCAATCTCCTATATAAAGAACCATCTTCCAACAACTCCTCCTCAAAGGAGCTCAAACGAACTTTGGGATCCATAGGCAAGGCAGCTGGCTTACAAGCAAGAAATCATGTATCCTCAAGTACTTGAAGAGCATAATGCCTTTGAGACAAAACAATACCTTGATGAGATCTAGCAATCTCCAAACTTAGAAAATATTTAAGCTTACCTAGGTCCTTTAGCTTAAATTAACTGTGAAGAGTGGATTTCAAATAATTAATAACCTGTAAGTCTGAATCAGTGATGACTATATCATCAACATATACAAGCAAGGCAACAAAACTTGTTCCAGAACCCTTAGTGAACAACGAGTAATCAGACTTAGATTGATGAAAATCATGTAATAAGAGGGCATGAGAAAATTTTGAGAACCATTGTCTTGAGACCCGCTTTAGTCCATAAATGAACTTGTGTAATTTGCAAACTAGACACTCTCCCTGTTTGCCAGATGAGATGGAAGGTCTATAACCCAGTGGCAGGTCTATATAGATTTCTTCAAAGAGGTTGCCACGAAGAAAGGCGTTATTGACGTCCAACTGAATAATGTGCCAATTATTTATTGCTGCAACAGCTAACAAAAGTTTCACAGTAACCAACTTTGCCACTGGAGAAAAAGTTTCCAAAAAGTCGAGCCCTTCTTGTTGAGTATACTCCTTGGCCACTAATCGAGTTTTGTATTGATCAACAGTGCCATCATAGTTATATTTAACCTTGTACACCCACTTGCAGCCTATAAAGTGCTTCCATTTAGGAAAACTGGTAATAGACCAAGTTTTATTTAGTTCCATGGCAGCCAACTCAACGGCCATAGCTTACTTCCAATGAGTATGTTTCACTGCTTGGTGATAATTTTGGGGTTCAATGTTTGAGGAAATATTGAGTAGAAGATGATTATGAGAATGAGAGAATTTATCATAAGTAATGTAGTCACTTGGGGGATAAGGATAAGAGCAGACATCAACGGGAGTGGTAGTGTTAGATAAAAGATTACAATGAAAATCTTGTAAGTATGAGGGAGGCATGTTATTTCTAAGAGATCTTCTGATAGTTGGGTTGGCAGGAATAATTGATGTGGCAGGAGGATCTGGAAAAGGTAAAGCGGGAGAAGGATTTTGAGGAGGTGAAGGGGCAGGAGGATCTGAGGCTGTAGAACCATTAGGGGACATATCAATGACATGAGGAAAATAAGGATCTGGAGAAGGTGAAGCGGGAGAAGGATTTTGAGGAGGTGAAGGGGTAGGAGGATCTGAGGCTGTAGAACCATTAGGGGAGACATCAATGACATGAGGAACATAAGGATGTGTATCTGGGACAGGATTGAGAAGAATAAGATGGGGAAATTGATCAAAAAAATCAGGAGTTTTCGAAACAAAATGAAAAGGAAAAACTTGTTCATGAAAGATCACATCTCTGGAAACAAAAATGGTTTTGGAAATAATATCATATAATCTGTAACCTTTAATGTCATGATGATAACCAATAATCACACAGGGATTTGCTTTATGATGGAACTTTAGGCGATGAGATGTAAGAGTAGATGCAAAGCACAAGCTTCCAAATACTCTAAAGGTCCGTTTGATTGCAAGAATGGAATTTGGGTGGAAAGAAAATGAATTATAGGGAATTAAATTGTCTAGAACTTGTTTTACTGGGAATTGTCAATTAATTGTGTTTGATTGGTATAATTTTTCATCTGAAAAGTATTAAAATTTTGGATCTTTTAGTGTTTGTTTGACTTTAGTTTTCATGAAAATTGTCCATTAAATGAATATAATTAATTATAATTGGGGATATAATTTATTTCCATTGCAAAAAAAAAAAAAAATTAAAAAAGTTGCCTAACTTTGGTGGGAAAAGCTTTTCCTCAAAAATCAAGAAAATGTGAACATGTGGATGAAAGTTGGAAAATCAATTCCATAGAAATTTTGGGCAATCAAACATGCAAAAAGATGGAAAATGGAATTTAATTTCTATCTTCCATGAAATTGAAGTGCAAAGAAACAGGGTCTAAGAAAACTGTAGTCCACTGAAGATTTGTGAAGTAAAGTGAATGGTGTTTTATTTTGCAAAATTGGGGAAGGGGTTCGATCGATTAGAAATGTTGCAGTGAGGATACAATCACCCCAAAATAATATAAGAACTTGTGCCTGAAAAAATAATGCCCTTGCTACATTAAATGTTGATGTTTTCTTTCAACAACTGAGTTTTGCTCGGGTCGTTCTGCACAAGAAAATTGATGGAGTACACCTTTTGAACTGAAAACTCTGTAAAATGTAATTCAGGAGCATTATCTAATTTGAAAAGCTTAATTACTTTGTGAAATTGTGTTTTAATGAGGCTGAAAAACTTGGGAATAATGGTATGAACATCTGATTATGCTTCATTAGATAAACCCAAGTAAACTTCGTACAATCATCGACTAATGTGAGGAAAATTTGTGACCATCACATGTTGGAGAGCTGTATGGGCCAAGTATCACAATGAATGAGATCAAAGGCATTGGCAGATAAATGGTTGTTTAATACGAATGACAACCTTCTTTGTTTAGCCAATGGACAGATATAACAAGGTGCAATACATCTATCATTCTTAAAATGTAGCTGATCTTTCAAAGTTTCCAACCTTTTAAAGGACAAATGACCAAGTCAATTGTGCCAAACATGTGAGGGCACATTATTCAATACATAAAAAATAGGATTACAGACAACTTTAGAAAAATTATATTCATTTTTCATCTCACTATATATTGCACCAATGATGTAGAGACCAATTTGTTTAGCGCTACCAATCATCTTCAAGCCGCATATGTCCCGAATATCATAATGATCAGTGAAAAATCCGATGCTTATATTTGAGTTTCAAAGAACTGATGGATAATAGGTTGAACTTGAATTGAGGTACAAATAACACGTCTTCAAGAATTAATTCATGAGTTAGTTTAACAGTTCCAGCCAACTGTACTGGGATTCTGATATGATTAGGCAGTGTGATGTAAGCATTCTGCATGGTCTTCAATGTTTGGAAAAATGCATGATTGAAACAAACATGGCTAGTTGCCCTTGAATCTAGTACCCAATATGCAGAAGAACTGAGTATTTGGTTAATGGAAATTGAAAGACATGTACCTGATACATGACCAGAATTAGCACCTTCATCTTCTACATTTGCATCCGTAAGATGTGTGCTCAACAAACTCATTAAATGTTGATATTGGTCAAAATTCAACGTTTGTACAAAGCTCCCAGCATTGCTAATGGGTTTATCTGGAATAGAATCAGAAATTTGATTAGCAATAGCATTACTTGACTGAACATTATAACATGTTTGGTTGCTTGAACTGGATCCTATTTGATTAGTTGAGTTGGATTTCTGCCTTGACTTGTATCCTGGTGGAAATCCATGGAGTTTGTAACATCTATCAACAGCATGACCTGCACCTCCACAATAGGTATAAACATGCCTTTCATTCTTCTGATTTTTACTATAAGACTGCCCTGTTTTGGTCCTTTTAACATCATTTCTAGCATAAAAGGCCAATGAATCAGTAGTTCCAGCAGTCCATTTACAGTTCTTTGATGCTCTTCTTGAGAGATAAGTGAAAACACTTTATTGATTGGTGGAATTGGATCCATGAGCAATAGTTGTCCTCTAACTTAACATAACATATTCCGTGTAAAGCAAAGTAAGCACTAATAGACAATTGACCTTGTGTATGATTCATTAACTCCCTTCTTAATAGAAAAATTCGAGGACCATTCCTCTGTTGAAATCATTCTTTAAGATCAAGCCAAATTTCATGAGCAGAGTCAGAGTATATAATGCTAACTGAAATTTCCTTTGAAACGGAATTGAGAATCCACGAAATAACAATGTCGTTATTACGAATCCAAGAGTTGAGAAGATCTGCATTACCTTCAGGTCGAATGACAAATCCATCAATAAAACCAATCTTACTTTTTACTGAAAGTGCTATAGTCATAACACGACTCCATGATGTGTAATTTTCACCAGTACGATGTTGCGAAACCAGAACAAGACATGGACTGGCCGAGTGGTGAAGATAATATGGACTAGAAATATCATCAATGGCGGAATGACTCATTGATGGAGATGAATTTTGATTTGATTAATTTTGAACGGAAAAAACCTGCCATGATCAATCAGAGTTTACCAGCATTCAATGGCGGAGCTAAGAAGAATGCTTTGATACCATATTGCAGACAAGAGAGAATATTGGAGAGCGGAATCTCTTATTCAATCCGGAAATGAAATGTTTATACAAAATAAATATCAAACCAAAGAAGTGAAAAAAAAGTGGCAGGAATTATAGTTAGATGACAGCTGTAACTAATTAACAAACTTTAACTAACTAAAACTAAATTTTGGCGCCAAGTGCTTCCTGCATCCACTTGTTCCGATACCTTTGGTTCATAGATACATCTAAATCTGAAGAATCTAAGAATTTGGATATCTAAATCTGAAGAACTTATGAATTTGGATATGGGACAAGTAGATAGATCATACATATTGGATGACGTATTTCTCGAGCATAATGCCAATTAATCCAACTTTAAATCAAGGATTCCTTTCTGGTGATGATGATCATCCAAAAGAAAAGATTCTGTGCTGCAGGCACTGTGCACTGAATTAATCTTCCAAAAAAAAATTTAAACTCAAGTAACTTATATGAAGAAATGATTTACACTTACGCTTATTTCTTGTTAATCTATCTGCTTGAGAATTTTATGCCATGTTTTTTGACAGGGTCCTAAAGTGAAATTGAATTGGATAAGCTCTTATCCTTTTAGTTTTTAGGTGATTCTTTTATTTTCGTTCTTGGAGAAAAAGAAATTATTGCTGAGAGCCGGTGAAAGAAACATGCTATCAGAATATTTTGTCATCTCTGAAGTGATAAATCACTTTTAATACTTTTTGGTTAGGCAATTATGTCGATTCTATACCGACTATCTAATCTATATCCCAGGTCCCGAACCAAACCATGACCCCACCAAGAGGCATGGGAGTATCAATGTAACAGTATGATCAAGATTTGAGAATGCAGTAGTAATTATCTAGAGGGTTGACATTGTAAAAAGTATAGGGAATATCATTCCTCGTCTTTAAATCTGTCAAAAACACAACTAAATGTGCGTTATTGTGAAAACTTTAGATACCCGGAATTGCCACATGTTCACTTGCATTATAGAATATTAGTTTTCTCCGAAAAATAGGCCTCTAGAGACAGAATTTGCCCTCAAAACAAAAGAATATATCCCAGTCTTGTTGCCCTTTGGCTCCTGCAAATGCCAATATTTCTGCAGCATATCAGGTTTCAAAAGCACATAAACTTGCCTTATAATGGAAAATACTGTTTGTCCGACGGAAAGTCGAGTGACTAGACACGACTGGATATTACAATATAAAATATTCCAACTGACACTTTAACAGACGAGCCGAAAGTGTTGTATACCTATGTGTCAACTTGAATTCAGCACAAAGAGTCATTTTCAAGCAAATCATCAAAGATAGTTCCTCTTATCCAATCTAATAATATCTTGAAAGAACTTTCTCTTTTCGTGTTTTTGCATTTGAATATTTCTTCATTTTCCTTTTCAGGATAAACAACTTAAGCCTAATTGTCAACTACCTCTATAAATAAGGATGCTGAAACCTCAAAACACCACAAGCAAGCCAACGAAATATTTAGTTGTTCTAGTGGGTCGAGTTTAGCTGAAACTTGTAATTGTAATGGACAGAGTACGAGATTTGGCGTCGAAGAGGGCTGCAGTGATCTTCACGAAAAGCTCGTGTTGCATGTGTCACAGCATCAAGGCACTGTTTTATGAACTAGGTGCAAGTCCTGCTGTGCATGAGCTCGATCAAGATGCAAAAGGAAGAGAAATGGAGGGTGCCTTAAGAGCACTAGGCTGCAACCCAACTGTTCCGGCAGTGTTTATTGGTGGTCGGTATGTCGGCTCGGCTAAAGATGTCATCTCCCTTCATGTTGATGGATCTCTAAAGCAAAAGCTGATTGATGCCAAGGCTATCTGGTTTTAGCAATCAATATTGTAGCACCTAATATATTATGTTAGTGCCATAGTTATCATGTGAAGCTCGTGGACTGTACTTAAGGGCTTCCTGGTTTTGTGAACTTTGGCCACCCCACCACCCTAAACCCCCCCCCAAAAAAAAATCAAAGTCTAACTTTTTTGGTGACTTATGCTGTAATGAAAAATCCTAGCTTCATGAAAATGACTAGTTGGAAATTGTATGAAATTGTCTTTCTTCCTAGGAAAAATCCCAACTCTTTTTAATTTTTTATTGGACCATGTCGAGCATACAATACCGTACACTTAATCTTTCCACCACGTATCGACTAAATGCACATAGACAAATGTGAGAAAACCCTTGTACACAATTTTTCTCCGACATAGTCACAACTGGTGGATGTACATTAAAATTGAAGGTAAACCGCTATAAATTTTTATATGTTTCCTTGTGTATGTTTGTGATTTCGTTTTGCATGTTATTGTTCTCAAAATTGAGATTAGGTTTTTTTTTTCCCTAACATATTCTTTTCAATTATCTTTCTATATATTAGATGCAAGATGTCTACATATAACCAAACTTAATTCAGAAGACATCTGAATATGGCCCTCTATGAAACAAATCTACATTTGAGGTATATATTCCAGAAGAACTGCGAAGATAAACACCCTACTTTGCACCAATAATCTGGGCTCAGAATCTTCAATTGACACCACAATGAGAAAACCCAACACCCAA